TTTTTTTTTTTTTTTTTTTTTTTTTTTGTCTGTGGATGTATCAAACCGCAATTATGTCCAAAGCCCCGAAGTGCAAAATGTCATGTTGCGAATTTGACCTGAAACTGAAAAATTGCAGGGTTCATTTCAACCTAAGATACAGTTTGCAAATGCACTTCAGGCACCCTACCTGACCAGAAAGCTCGGTTGTATACATTGCCTGAAGTGCAATTCGAAACTGTATCTTGGCCCATACTACAATTGTAGTAACTCGTTTTTGTGACTCCCGCATAGTTTCCCCATGTATTTCAATCTTGTGTTCGGGTCTTCCCTCTCACGAGATCTCACCCACCTCCCTTTCCTCAATTATCCCTGGTGCAACCTGCACTCCCTTAGCGCCTCCTCACCACAGGGAACGCAAAAAAAAAGAAGACAACTAGTACATCCTCCCACAGAAAATGATAAAAGATTCATCCTCAAAATAGGAGTATTCATGGATGTATCTCGCCAATTTCTGTGGAGAACTGCACTCTTTTCTTTTTCCGTTTCCGACGTTTCGTGTGCCATGCGGCGAGACACGTAGTCCTATCATAAAGCTGTTGCAGTTCGCCACAGTGTGGTCAAAATCTGCACAATGTCATGTGACAGGCAGCTCGCTCAGCCTCACTGCACCGTACTGCTATCTGAAGGCAACAGTGGGGTAGACATTTGGGGGCTGTGGTAAGTGGATTCTCTCTGCGGCAACACGTTTGGGGTAACTTTGTACCTTTTTTTTTTTCTGTTTTTTTTCTTTTCTTTCTTTCTTTCTTTCTTTCTTTCTTTTTCTTTTTTTTTTTCTTTTTTTTTTTTTTCCCCACTTCGAAACAACCCAGACCAGAAATGAAGGACTTCAAATTTAGGAATCATACAAAACTAACAGCTTAAATTTGCTTTGGTGTCAAAGCTCAGCTGGCAGAGTAACCACAGAGAGAAAAAAGGGTGGATAATTAAGATACACAGATTCAAAAGAATGCAACACCTGCCATTTTGGAAAGATCAATGCAGCAGCTACAGCAGGATCTTTTTTTTTTTTTTTTTTTTTTTTTTTTTTTTTTTTTTTTTTTGGGACAACTGCTCCAATCTATTCGTGGGGAGCCACAGCAGGATCAACCTAGTATACAGCCTCTTATGACTGCCATTTCATTGAAATGGACATTTTTGAATGATTTTTCTTTGTTTTTTTTATAACAAAATTGAAACCGAGTTTTTTGGTGCTCCTGAGGGGGGTCCGGCGTTTTAAGAACGCCGGACCCCCTGGATGTATCCGGGGGTCTCAAGCTAAGTCCACATATTACATCCAGGGGGTCCAGCGTTTTAAAAACGCTGAGCCCTCACGAGCCAAAATTTTGGACCTCTTTTCGGCCAAAAAAACTCGGTTTCAATTTGAAATTCGTTCAAAACATGACAAAACTAATGTCCATTTTGCCGAAAGCGTGGCAGTTTTATCAGAAACTCAATGATCTCGAAAGTAGATTGACTACTACTGCAACAACAACCACCATGACTGGATCTTGCCACGCAAGGAGCTGAATCGGATCCGAAACCACTGGACCTCTCAAGGAGAGAGAGATTCGAAAGACTGCAAAACCTGCCGTCACAGACATTTCAAGACATGCCCTATTGATGATTGCAAGAATGATTCTTTTGTACAGGGACGCTGGACCCGTTTTCCAACAAGTGCAGCTCTCCTCTCATAGATGGAGCAACCAGGGGCAGTTACTATAGGAGGCTGCTCTTACCACACCCTCTAGTAGAGGCCGCAGGTTTTAATTAAAAAAAAAAAGAAGAAGAAGACTTAGAAGAGACAGCCATCATGATAGCAGGGATCAGACGATAAAGTCGCTTATCCCGACATTGACTGTCAGGTATAGTCTTGGCAGTGAAAACACGAAAGCTATGGCTGGTATTAGCTAGGATGATACGACTTCTGGAGTGCTGAATCTGGTTTAGGGGAGACTAGTGCGAGGATTTAGTCCCTCGGCAGTGTCTGAAAGTGTCATGCCCGCCCTAAGTGAAGGCGGGGCTGCAAATATGTGCCAATGCCTGTTTATAGGGCTATGAGACCAGGCTGAGGGGCCCAATCAGAGCCTGTTGTAAACCCCATGTGGGCATGGATCTTCGACAAAGCCTTGTTACGAGTTGGCTCCTTGGCATGCCCCTGTAGGGCCCTTTCAGCAAGCATGAGCCCGCCCTAAGTGAAGGCGGGCCCTGAATTTCAATATGTTCATCAATTTTGGCAAAGTTTGGTGGGCGCCAGACAGTTGCCATGCACCAGTCGGTTACATCCTCCATACTCGTGAGAATCAGAAATAACTCTTGAGCCTTCTAGGCTCTTCCAGCAGCACCGTCGAAGCAGGGAGAACCTCACATTTACTCCAGGGTGGTTGGGCAGGCTCAACCAAATCTTTCCCAGGCCACTGTCTGAATGGGCCTGGGCGCAGACACTTTGGCCCGATTGGAAGCTACTGGAAATACACGAGGCCCAGCCAGGGAGCAGACTGGGCGAGCACTTTCCATAAGGGAAAGAGCTCGCCACTGGTGGAGGCATTCGGGCACTAAGCGGTGCATGCGGCAGCGCTGCTTGAGCGTGAGCTCACAGGCTGTGCGCTGTGCGCTGGTGCTAGCTGCCAGGCAGTGCACGCGGGCACTGGAAGAAGGCAGGGATCTGCCGAGGGCAGCGCCATAGCCAGCCCTACATAGCCAGGGCTTGGCTTGGACAGCCAGTGGAGGTGGTGGTGGTCTTCGTGCATAAGGGAGAAGACGTGGGGAGGAAGACAAGGATAGGGAGAGAGTGAAAGAGATGAGGATGATGATGTGAGGGTGCATACCTGGTATTGGCGATGGTCTGCATTGGTCGACATCTTCAAGTACTTCGGTGGATGCTGACGTCAACAGTTGCATTGTCAATTCGTAGGCAGGAAGTAGTTGTGTAGGGAGTAGCCTGGGCGCCGAGCGCCAAGTAGGGAGAGAGGGCCTGGATACGTATGTTGGTGGGGACGAGAGTAAAGCTCTCATTGACATTCGCTTTCAGTGTTTCGATTCTCCATTGGTGTAATATTGGTGCAATGCTGCTTATCTGGACACTGTGGGACTACTTTGCTTTCAAGGTGATTGTGCTATCTGGAGTGTGTCATCTCGCTATCTCTCATTTTCCTTGCACTAGGAGTTGCTCATGGATTGAGAGGTCAGGCTTTGCTTATGTCGTTCATTGCTTTTTCTTATCATCATCATCATCATAATCATCATCAAAAAAAAAAAAAAAAAAAAAAAAAAAAAAAAAAAAAAAAAAGTTGACATCAGGCAGCGGGGATGTCCTGCTGCGGAGGCTGCCTTCCTTTTTACTCTAAAAATGGAACTCAGGCAGTGAAGATTTCCTGACAGTTTTTTCGACCAAGCGTTATTCAATTTTAACGTGAAAGTGGGGGGTGCCTGGTCTGTTTGGGTCCGCTGCTTCGCTAACTGGTCAGGTTGGGACCAGTACCACAGGCACTCCTAATGGGTACAGTAGTCTTAGGCCTGGTTTGTCGTTTCGGACCTTGGTTCTGGGATCGTTGTCCCTCTCGATCCAGTCCTTTTGTCGGATGGACGTCCGGTTGAAGTAGGATATATAAGTCTGTTTGTTTGTCTGTCTTTTCCATCTCACCAGCGCTTGCCCCTGATGATGGCCCGTGTATGACGGCCCGGCCGAAACACGTGTAGGGTAGTCCGTCAGTCGAGCTTCAAGGCTATGGCGCTTTGCGCCTATATTTTTCCACTGTGCTTTGTTGTATACCTTTAATTGATGCGCTCGGGGGTTTTTCATATCTCTTGTTCTTTTCTTGTCTACTTTGGCAAAGTGTGTTGTTGCACTTGCGTGATTGCTTTACTGCGGTACGCACTTGATTACCCTGTACGTGTGACTGTGATCTTTGCCTATACCTCCATACCTACTATCCATTCATTGACTATCTTTCGTTCGGAGGTTTGTTGTTTCTTTCTCCTTTTCCTCTTTCACTATTTCTCCTTCCCTTCTTCTATCAACTGCGCTGGCACAGTGGGAGTTTAGGGCGTTAGCCTGCTGTGCGACATGGGGGACAGTGTTAGTCCTCTTTCTGAATGTATCGGCCAGGTGTTTGCCATTTCTGTCATCTACCCGGGCATTTCATCCCGGAATGTCCTTTTTTGTAATTGCCCGAATGGGGCGGAATTGGCTGCTAACTTGCAAGGGGTAATGAATGGAGTTGAGCGCGACGATGGAGGCGGTTTGTTACCAGCACCAGCCACGTCTTCGTCCACATAGGTGGCTGGGTCTTCTGGCGTTTCAAACGCTCTCGTGCCATATCAGGCGCCGCATAGCAGAGGCGCGAACGATGGTGGGAACAACTACGGTGGTTACGGCAACTACGGGAGCAATAGTGGTTACCGGGGTAACCAAGGCTACGGTGGACAGCGGTTTTCGAAGCCATGGGGTGGAGGGTACAAGGAACGCGATAGAGATTATCATTTTGACAGGATCTATGGCTTGCTTTCAGAACAGGCTAAGAACGCAAGCGGAAGAAACAGGAAGCCGCCAAGTTAGAGTTGCTTGAAGCTGAGAAAAGAAGGCTACAGGCAGAGGAGGAGAAGAACGCGCAGGCCAGGAAAGAGAAGGAGCTACACGAGGCAAGGTTAGGGAAGACTGTTCGGGTGAGTATGAAGTCTGTATGTGAATCAGTTCTTGGGAAGAAGGTGGATATTCCTGATTAAGATGAAACAGAGATCGGTAGGGTAAGGCGGGAGTTAGAGGAGTTGAAAGTGAGATGTGCGGAGGAAAGGCGGAATCTAGTTTGGAGGCACTGCAGCGAGAGAAAGACGCTCTTCAAAGAGCCCAATCTATGAGTAGTGAGGAGAAGACTCTTAGGAAAGAAATCGAGATGTTGAGGGTAAGGAATGACAAGGGAAGGATAGCTGATGCGGTTTTGGAAAGCTCCAGGAGTGATGAAATTGCCGCGCTCCGTTTGCAGATACATGAACGCGAAGGTGTCCACGCGGCGCTCCAGGATCGCAGTAACGAGTTGTGCAACCTGAAAGCAGAGAACTCGACGCTCAAGAAAGATTTCTTGGATCTTAAAGGGGAGATCGTCGAGCTTAAAAACGCCAATAATAAGCGGGCGTCTGAAGCGGTCACTGAAAAGAGCCCGCCAGCGGAACCTAATACGGGTAAGGAAAGGATGGTTCCGATTGGCGAAGCCGTCTACACTCCTAAAGATTTGGATGCTCTACACAAGGCATACAAGAAGGCACAGGCGGGGAAAGAGATTGCTAATAGGGAAGTACAAGCTCTTAAAGAGCGAATGGCACACTTGGGATTTCAGTTGCTGACGAAGCAGCGTCAATCGGCAAGAAGGCCGTTAATGAGGAAGACTACACCTCGGAATCTGAGGCCTGCGCTCAGGGCTGTCCACGTTGAGCACGAAGAATCAGATAAGGAAGCAGATCCTGTGAAGGCGACACACATTGAGGAAGTCCTTGAGAAACCTAAGGATGTGCAGCTGAGGAAGATGCAAGAAGAAGAGAGGCGAGCACTACGAGCAACCAAGAAAGCCGAGATGCAGAGCCCGTGCGAAGAAGAAGGGATTACCTATATCAAGCTCGACCAAGCTAGGGCCGATGTCGGTGAGATCCGAGCAAGGAGAAGATTTGTGCAATGGCTGAAGGAACATGGTCTTCAAGATGACGAAGATGATGATCAGGACCAGCACTATGCCACCTCCGCGGAAGACGTCAAAGACGAGTGAGAATGCGCCCTGAGCATATCTTCCTTGTGCGAATGGGCATCATTCTTTCGGGATTACCGTAAGTCCCTCCCTGTGGATGAGGTTAATTATCTGTTTTGTCTAATTGTTTTTTTTTTTAATCATTAATAATCAATTTCGTTGGGGTTGTAAATTTCGAGATTTACTGTTGCATTTGCTTAAGATTGGTTATGATTTTAGATCGTGTCCCGGTCCTGTCGTACATGCCATTATTTCTCTATGGTCCAAACGTGTGTATATTGGATGTACGTCCCGTAGTGGTAAAATTCGATGGAAAGAGCATTCTTCTGTTTTCTC